GGCGCCTGCCAGCACAGCCCCCCGCCGATGCAAGCGCGCCCAGGCGCCGTACCGGCCGGCCCCAAAACGTCCTACCCGGGTGAGCTAACGAGCCACGGGACGCGGTGCGGGCCGCTGGTAACGCGCCACAAACGTCCCCGAGCGCGGGACCGCGAAAGCTAAGCCTTGCCCCGCGGTTCGGGTGAGACACGTGCGCAGCGCCCCAGGGGCGGGAAAAGGTGCCAGGCCAAAGCCCGGCTCCACGGGGACAACGCTGCAAGACCACCAGGCCCCTGCGACCACCGCCCTGAACTGGCCCGCGCCCAGCTTCCGCCGCGTCCTGCCTGTGCCGCCGTTAAACACCGGCCAGCGGGGGAATGAACCGTCCTGAAAAAGCAAAATCCCCCCCCGGGACCGGGCACGTCTCACTGTGAAGCGCCAGGACTTTCAGCAGCCCGGGCAGAGGGCTGCCGGGAAATAAAGCCTTCAGCAAGCCTTGAGCTGCGAACCTTTCCCGAGCTCGAAACGGCTGCTGCTGCTGCTGTCACCCAGCACTCGAGGCAGACGCGTACCCGCCCTCCAGTCCAGGAGAGTAAGGAGGGCCCTCCTTTGGAGTAAAGAGAGACGAGGAGCACAATCGCCTTTCCAAATCCCGCTGGGATCCCTCCCTCTCAGAGAAGTGCAGAGATCGCTACTCTACAGCCAGGAGTCAGAAGAGCCTCAGAAAAGGGACATAAAAGATGGGCACGCAGAAGAGCAACAAAATCAGGTGGGGTATCCGCGGGAAAGGATTTCCACCCCCTTTTCTTTGCTCTTGAACAGACCGTGCCCGGTGGATCCAGCCAGAGCCCTCAGCCATCTCTGCGCTCACGTCAAAAGGCCTGGGGGACGGCTCTGACGACGAGCCTCACGTCCTCTGTGCCGCAGGGCTGTTCGGAGCTGTAATCCCTCTAAACTGAAATGATCTTTCAGAAAAACAGACCTGTTTAAATTAAATTCTTGGTGACTAAGAGCTACCCAGAGTCACCTAGGGCTAGCCCTTTAGAAATGGGCGCCTAGAATTCCTCTCGCTGCAACTTCCAACCCTGGGAATTTCCTGGACTTTCAACTTTCAAGGGAGAAGTTGATGCGGTGTCAAAGAGCCACAGGATCGCAAAGGTTTAACTGATCCCCGAGCCTCCGCAATCTTCTCCTGGAGCGACGCCCGAGCGCGGCACCAGACGGGCCCTCCCCTTCCCAGCAAGACCCCAGGGAGCGGAGACCTGCTCCCGTGGCAAGCAGGCCTCTCGTCACCCCGGACGGAGCCAACGGCTCCGCTGTCTCTACCAGCTTCTACAGCATCCTCTAAGGAGTCAGCTAGGCCCCGAGAAGTCGTCATTTCTGCTGGAAGCTTATTCCACTGGTGAATCAATTTCCTTTTCAGGAACGACTGCTCCGTTACCTGTGTGAAGTCTGTCTGCCTACAGCTTCTAACCGTTCGTTACTGTTCTGCTTTCCTCTGCCGGACTGAACAGCCTTTCAGAACCTGGTTCCTTCACCCAGAATTACGCAGTGTGCCGTCTCACGGACAGTTAGTTTAACAAACTTCCCCTCCAAATTCATTCTGGATTTTCTCTCTCTTTTCCAAAAAAAGACCCAGACACCAGAACTGGACGCTCGTTCCAGTGTTTGCCTCATCAAAACCATGCGCAGAGGTCACACTCGCTCCCCGCTCTCTGTTTTTCTCCACTTACACTGAGGAAGATTAACTGCACAGTCCCTGATGCCAAACAGCAAACTTCTTTCCAAAATGAGCGTTCCATAGCATCAATACTAATTTCAAAGAAAACTATAGTCCCACAACGACTTCCATCCACCAAATCCATTACACCAAAGAACCAAGCGAGGTTTCTTTCCTAAGCCCTGCTCCTCAGCAGCTGTGTTTCTGGCAAACAGCTTCTGTCCCACCCAGTCCCCAAAACCAGAAGCCCAGTGGCAATTCAGGAGACAGGGTGCTTCCCAGGAACGACGAGGGGCTGCAGGCTCGGAAGAGGCGAAGCAGACAAACACCTGCCTCCTCTCTCCTTCATGGTTCCCTGCCTCAGCCCCGCTGCCTTGGGCCAGAGGAGAGGAGCGGGAGGACAGGAGGCAAAGCAAGGGCTGCCCCTTGCTTGGGGCGTATCGGGGTACTGCTGGGGAGGGGGTTTTGGGACTCGGACAGGGTGAAACGCGGGTGCTCTCACCTCCTGGCATAGTCGTACAGTGCTCGTTTCCGCTCCTGCAAGGACAGATGCCGCTCCACAGGGGACTTCGCAAATTGCTTCGTAGCTGGCTGGAACAGAAAGCACAAGAGCCATCAGGAGACAGTCAAACAAAGCCGGGAGACCTCCTTAGGGGCTCGGCAAGGACCCGGCACGCCAACTCGGTCTCCAGCTTAAAATGCTCCCTTCCCCTGACAGCATGGCTAGTCCTGAACACAGGCCATCATGCTCTGGCTGCGAGCCATCAGAGCAGAGGAGGCAACACAACCACCGCAGTACCTTGGAAGGAGGCACAGCTACGGAGCCCTGGATGCCAGAAGCAGCTGCAGCCTGGGAGGTAGACGGGGCGGGCAGGTCAGTACCAGCCTCCTTACTTTCCGGGAAGAAGGGTACTCTCCCCTCCAGCAAGTTGGCAATGGTGGTATCCACGCAGTTGGTTTGGGCTGTAGGGACAAGGAGGATCTGTTTAGAGGGGGAGCTGCTACATCAGGACACTCACATCCTTGCTGCCACCGTGCCCCACAGTGCAGCAGGGACAAGGTTTCTGCTTTCAGGTATCACAGAGACTTGGCATGGAAGGCGGCCCTGCCAATATCCCAGGCATCGCTTACCCAGGTCTATCCTGATGACCTCCAGAGGCACGTGAGGCAGCACCTCCTTGACGCGCTGAGCCATCGCCGTGATCCGCACATCTTCAGGAGCAACACCGGTCAGGCTGGAAGGCATCCTGGGCCTGGCTGCCAGGGGCTGGCTTGAGGCTGCAAGAGAAAGAACAGTGGGCACAAGAAGGTGGCCTAAAGGTGCACGGACTTCAAGTTGCAGCAGCTCCCCTTTCTCTAGTGTGAACTGGTGAGAGAACGAAGCCGGACCTCCTGCACACCACCATCACGTCTGAGCTCAGGAGCGGCGGTCCTCTCCCTGCCAGCTAGCTACGCCCCCAGCCTAGGGCACGCCGGCAGCCCCTGCTCCCCGGGAGGATGTCGGACGTGCCCTCTCCTCCCCCTCCACGCATGAGTACCCAAGAGCAGACTGAGGCCTCCCCCAAGGCAAAGCCCAAGTGGCAGTTCCGCCGTCAGGACGCTACCCAGGACACCCACCTGGGGCAAAGGGGAGAAGCGATGTGTGTCTCAGCCTCTTCATGTGTTCAGTTTTATCTGCTGCAGTGAGCCGTGTGGATACCACACCCAGCTCCATGGCCAAGAGCTGCAGGAACGCAGAAGAGAGTCACATGTACACGGCACACAACACGCACGACCCAGGCATTCCCATCTTGCAGGGGAGTGTATCAGAGGTACAGGCCTGCACGGAGCCACGGCGAGGGGAAGAGGGCTGGGGACTGATTTCTCCAGGGCCTCAGTGATGCATTTCAGTGTTGCATGGAGCACATGAAGGACCAGGAGTAGGCAAAATAGAAAATTGAAATACATGGGGAGAGCCTTGATAACTGGCAGACAGGACAAATGAGGGGTAGCAAATAGGCCGTGGAAAAACTGAATAATTATAAGGGGCAATAAACACGGGCCAGAGTTCCCATTGTACGAATACACCCATCCAGAAATGCCCTTTGCAACTCTGCTCGCACCCCACTCTCCTCTGTGACCATCCCAAATTGCAGCAGTCCTACACATCCCTCTCCCACGTCATCCTCCTACCTCCTGAACTCGGAGCGCAAAATCCTCACTCAGTTCTTCAGCTCGTCTGGGGACAGACGGCATCCACCTGAATGGGGACAACAGCACTGGGCTGATTGCTTCAAGGGCTGCTGGAGGAGCCAGCCCCATCTGGGATCAATAGCGCAACGGTGCTATCCCCACCTCAGCTCTCCCTGCTCACCCCAGATCTCTCCCCACGAGACAGTGTCAAACCTCAACACTGGCTTGCAAAATTAAGGGCAAGGCACGGCTCAGAAGACAAAACTAGCTCAATGAATCTTTATTAGCACTCAGGCGTAACTCGCAAAGTATCTCCTAATTAAGTTCCCAGAAAGGCCCCCAATGAGGAGACACTGCCATTTACATGAGAGTAGAAAACAGATCGGCAAGACTCAAGCCAGGCACGGCTGGGGAAAGCCTCAGCACAAGGCTTTGCTTTGCTGAAATACCCCGACCCCTAAATTTGACTCCAAGCCCCTTCTGCTGCCTACAGACCCTAATTACACCAACGCTACTCAGCCAGGCTGGGCTCACCGGGGCGCTAGACAGGTGTCTGAACCACCTCTGCAACGCACAAGGGATTGCAGGGAAGAGACAGAGGCTAGAGGACTGAGCTGCCTGCAGGGAATCACCCATGGGACCTGAGCAACCCTGGGGTGAATTACAGCAGAGCAGCTGCCTTCAAAAATATACCCAGCAAACTCGACATAAAAGCCTCGAGAGACTCCTCTCCTTCAGCAACTGAGCGCAGGAACCAAGAGCCCTCTCCACTTCAGAAGCAGGGTGAAGCTGGTCCAGAAGATGGACCTGGCACGGACCAAATCACGCTGAACAAAGCCATGCTGAGATACCACAATGAGGGTGCGCATCAGCGCGTACCAAAAGGTCTCTTACTACAACGGCAAAAACGTCAGGCTCCCTGCCCGCCCTACACCCTGCCCCAAATGAAAGAGAGAGAGAGAGATAGTACCTTACTTGATAAACTGTGAAGGGAACAAAGAAGGTCCAGAGCAGCTCTGTAATCCAGGAGGAGTCAGCCACACTCTGGGGAAGAGAGCACAATGAGATCCGGCCCACAAAACACGAGCTAGTCAGGTCTCCATCAGGGACGCAGGCGGACAGAACACAGCGAAGCCATGGCAGCGAGTAACAGACACGCGGGTACAGAGATGTGGAGGACTGGGAAAGAGGGAACGGCAAACCCAGCGCACAGCGAGGGCAAGCCCCAGGGCAGATTCACCTTCATTTGTCCTCTCCAGGCAGAGCAAGAGCATCAAAGCTTTCACTGCTCCGAGTCATCTTTTCCTCCCACTAGGACAGCAGGATTTTCCCTCAATATCCTCGCATTCTCTACTAGACGGTGCCTTTAGAAAGGACCGAAAATGCCTTAAGATCTACTAACGCTTCCTTAGAATCATGAACGATCCTCCCTTATTCTAATGGGAACAGCTCATGCAATGTCTCAACTCCCGTAAGCTTTATCTCTTCGTTCCCAAACAGGCTGCACTGTGAAGTCTTAAACAACTGTTCTCTTTCAAGACAAATCATTAAAGGTGAGCTATAATTTATTACTTTCTTCCTGTTTCTAAAAATTAGTGAATAACCTTTTCCCTAAGAAGTACTGCAGTGCCCGCCAGAAGAGAGCACTGGACAGGCGCTCCGACGCGGTGGGCTCTCCATCCTTCTCGACGGGGCACAGACCATAAGCCAGTCTGACTGTGAGCAGAAGGCTGAACTAAAGACCTCCAGAGATTCCCTCCAACCTACACTTTTCAATGATTCTGAAGAATCTGCTATTGCATGGACATTGTTCCTAGGATTTTTGTAGTTGGTTACTTTTATCCAGCAGCGAGCAAACTTTCCACAAGCTGGTGAGGACAACATCTCAAGATCCACAGCGCGCAATGCAGCTGCCTCAGCTTTTTTTACACGACTTTGTCCTTGACCAAAGCAGTGTGGCTGCAAGACAGGCATCGTGCCTGGTTTATTCCATGGCCCGGAAAGAGGTGCTATAAATGAGAAAAGCCCAGAAACCACAGCCACCAAGGGTAACATAAAGAAGCCTCATCTCCTGGATAAACAGATCTAAGAAACCTAAAATCAAATGCCCTATAGCGATGCCAACAGCCAGGCTTCAGTTACGCTGCCTGGTGCCACAGAACAACACCCGCCTTCAAGGTTCCAGCCCATTGGAGCTGGAGGAAGTTCCTTCTTAACCCCAGATTTGGTGGTTTGCTCAGCCCAGTGTCCGACACATATCACCTAAGTGTCTAAGAAAGCTTTCTCTAAAGCACTGATCGAACCATTCAAAGTATCGCATCTCCAGTCCTCAAAAGTTTCTGATGGTTTAAAATTACATGAGAAATCCCCTAGGATTTACTTAGCCAATGTGCATGAAGGGAAAAAAAATCCTGCTCGACCTCTGAAGGTAAAAATCTGAGCCAAGAAGTGACTATAACCAGTATCTTCAAACAGATCTGCAGTTATGTGCACGCTGTTCTTCCTAACATTCATGAAGGAAAGGATGCACAGGCAAATATACTTGTCGCATCTCACAGAATTTCTCAGAGGAGCCAAAACCATAAAAAGATATTGGTTATAACCAGTTCAGAACAGGACAGCTATCCGACTTCTCTGGAGTAGTCATTCAAAAATTTAAAGTATCGTCACTGTAGAAAACTGCATCTTAATCCAAAACTGAACTTGTGCAGTACCAACATTTAGCCTCAGCACCTGCAAAGACCGCTACTGCGTGCTTTGTCAGAAAAAGGTAAGAATTCTCCACTCTTAAGCCTCTCCTCCAATGTGCGAGCAGCTATCCACAATAATCTCTCTGCCTTTTCTCCGATAAGCTGATTAAGCTGAGTGCCTTTAAGTGTTGCTCTCCGGATTCTGCATCACGCTTATGGCCTCCTTGAGCTCTCTCCACTACTGCCCCAGCTCCTTGGCAGCAGCGTTACCAGAGCTTCACGTAACATTTCAGCGGTTTTCGCCATCGCGCACATGCAGCGAACACCGCGTTCCCCGCCCTGCCAGACATTCCTCGCGTTATGCACCCGCAGACCGCATCAGACTTACAGTAACAGCCCTTCACTGGCAGCTATCAGTAGTTCACCGGATCGCAATCAATAATCCAGCCTCTTCCTTATTCACTAACCTGAACGTCACCAGCAGGGGTCTCAATATTGTCACCGCAGCACTGACAAAAGCACTAAGTAGCACTGGGCAAAGAACTAATCCCTAACAGAATCTCACTTTAGAAGTACCTGCATGCTGATGTCTTAGTATGGGCAGCGATGTTTTGGGACCTGCTTGTAAATGGCTTTTAATCTATCCACCGTGCCCTGCTACCTTAAAAAGATGGACAACAGAGAATCAACTAAGATGTCTGACAAATATAAAATGTAAGTGTCTTTTAATGAAGCAGATCCATAAATCATATCAAGAGAGAAGAAGTCCAACAAAATCTCACTCTGTAAATAAGCCGAGAGCGGTTTTATTGCAATCTATTTAGCAGCGCTAGTACTATCATCATGAACTTTGCCACTTTTCTGAAGCTAACGTTGCATCATGTTACATATCTGCATTTCGGAGGCACGAGTTCAAGAACCTAATCCAGAGCGCCTTGCGTAACCTTTGGCACATCAGCCACTCTCCAAGGTGGCTGGAGCTATTCTTTCAAAGCACTTTAAAAGAAGGGAGCTCGCAAAGAGGAGATGACACAGTCGTGCTACGGTCACGGAAGCCAGATGGCACATCGTTAGACAGCTGAGCCACTAAAACCTTTATCAAAATTGCCAGTGTAACTGAAAGAGTATTGACTTAGCAGAACTTCCCTGGGAAAGGCACTTGAAAAACAGAAGTGTGAGCACCGAGAAGCTCATCCTTGGGGTGACAGAGCACAAGGCCAGGCTGCGCTACCCACAGGCTTCAAAGCAGAAGCAGAATTAACGGCATTGCCAAGGCCCTCGCACAGTGCACGCCTCCACAGCTCCTCCTTGCCCTACGTCCCTGACTCACCACAGTGATCAAAGGCCTCTGAACTTGTAGGGCAACTGGCTGTACCACATCCAAGATTGAGAACGGCCAAGAGCTGAAAAGGAAGAATTCGGCAGTGAATGACCCCAAAGGTAAAACAAAGTGACGACAGCCCCGCCACAGGAACATCCATTCCTAGTACCTGAAGCGGAGCAAGCCGGCCCGGCCGTTGGTGGCAGCCTCCTCCGGGAACAGCAGCAGCGGAGGGTTTCCTCTGTGGGACGAGTACACCTTCAGGGAATCCACCAGCTCTGCTCGGCTTCCCGTTACTCCCAGCTCCATGAATCCCCGCGACCAGCAGATGAAGCCAGGGGCACTGTTCAACGCAGGCTGCAAGGAAAAACACGAGTAAGGAAGAAACGCTGTCCTGTCCTTCCCTCAAGGCCTACTTTCCCAGATGACAGTGGGAGACAAAGCTCCTGCTTATCAGCAAAAATGCCTCTGGGGGCTGAGGGAGCAACCTGCACGCTGAAAGCACTAGTAGCAGAGAACACGTTACTGCCAGGCTTCAGTAACTGCTCTGGCCCCAATTCCCTAGGAATTTGATTCCTAATCTTCAGTTCAGACCGTACCCTGTCTGCCAGAGAAACGAACTCCCCTCCTACCCTGGGCAACAACCGTGTTTCCCCATGTTCTCTCTAGAAGTTCCTGGCACGCTTGGCAAAGGATACGCTACTTCCAAGAGTTACTTTTCTCCAGGTAAGGAGCAAATCTACTGCTGTTCAGGACACAGGACCGACAAATTCACTCCTGGGCACATCCGGAGCTTGTTGATTCAGGAACTCCACACATAAGGAATTTCACAAGAGTACAGGGAAAATTACACAACCACCAGCCCAGCACGACACCCCGAGCACCACCGCCCCGCCCCGCAGCTCCCCTCAGCACTCCCCTGCAGCCCAGCCGGCTGGCCACACGCACAGCGGTGGCACCCAGTGCTGGGGGAAAGCCCCACAACCAACCCTGCTTCTGACACCACCTATTTAAAAGGCCAGAAAAAGATACAGACACAAGGATTTACCCACTCTCTTTCAATAAAATCAATACCCACTGTAACATTTCCTGTTCCTCCTTGCCCTGTTTTATTTTTTCATGCGCTTTTTTAAAGCGTGACGCTGAACCACAGAAAAAAACTCAAAGCTTGTGCAATCCTGGGTTAATAAATAAGAACTGAAGAGGACCATAGCAACACCTGAATTCTGAAAGGGCTCTCCGTGCACTTCTCTTGGAGAGCGGTGCTTCCAGACCCGCCATGCTCGGCCTCAGGTTGCTCACCGTATTACATGAGGTCAGAAGGTTGATGACGTTGTGATCAAATTGTGTCACGTGGTTGGCGATATACACCCTCACATTGACGTCACGAAGCTGGGGGTCACTTTGCCGCACAAATAAGCCCAGCACCGAGCACATCACACGTACAATAAACCTGGGGGGGGGAAAGTGGTTTCCTCAAGTCCTGCAGTCTGAGCCATCGCTGGCTTACACATCCAACAAACAGAACAGAGACCTGGGAATTCATGTGACTTGGAAAAGGACACTGGTACAAAAAGGAAACGATACGACAGATGTCTGGGACAGGAATCGTTGGGGGGCTGCAGTTGGGGCTGAAGGCTGCCTGCACAGCTGTAGCTGCAGCATGAAGTATGGGCCAGCAAGCCTCACGCAGAATTTCCTAGCGGGATACCCAGCTGATCCAAGTGTTTCAGATCAGTCCTTGAGCGCTCAAGAGGCAATTGCCAGCTTCGGCCTTGGCAGAGAAGGCACCTTCATGGGTCTTGGGGACAAAGGGTCTCAAAAGCACAGCTCCCTGTAAACCTCTGCGCGAACCAAGCCTCCGTGGCTAAGGACCCCAAACGGGCGAGGGCAGCCCTCCCGCCCCACGCTGCCCCACAGCAGCAGCTGCACACCACATCCCCACCCCGGGCAACAGCAGGGGCTCCGCGCCCTGGGGAGAGCCGGGCTCACGCACCGTCGCAGCACGCTGTCAGGCAGGGCGCAGCTGACCAGAAAGACGTGCACGCCGATGAAGAGGCGCAGGACGAGCAGGCAGAGCCCCACCGGCGCATAGAGCAGCAGGGCCAGAAGCAGGAACCCATCGGTCGGAAACCTGTAGGGCCAAAGAGCAGCACAGACAGCCTGAGCACGGCCGGGACACGCATCGGACAGCCAGACCCCCAGCTGCCCTCCCCAGGGACCGCCCTGCCTCCCCGCAACCTCCCGGGCCTCCCCAAGGAGACACCCAGCGCCTCCCGGGCCCCGCCGCGGGCCTCCCCGGCACACCCTGGGCCCTCGCTGGCCCCCCCAGGACGCCCCGACCTTCCCCACGGAGCCCCCGCGGGACCCCAGCGGG